AAAATTTATTTCACCTTTAGCGCCTTTTTCCTTTCCCTAGAGTCTCTACTTTTATCTTCCGTTTTCGTATTTTCCTTTTACTGCTTTCTTTTATTAACTCCCGCCGCTTACTCTATTTTTTATGCCATTTCTACCTCTGAAATGGGTTCTTTACATTTCTTTACAGTCGCTCTATGTTTACCATCTTTTTTCTTTCATTCTGTGTGCCGCTTTTTATTGCTCTTCCATGCGTCAAAACTCACTTATTCTTTTCTCGTTCATTTTCTTTTACGACTTTTCACTTATTTTTCTCGTACCATCTCGATTTTCATGCCAGCGTAATATATTCCCTTGTTTATTTCGACTTCATATTTTAGTGTCTCGTGAACAGTTCATTTTTATCGAAGTTTATTGCTGGCTCTGGTCATCGATATCGTTGCGTCCGCCTACGATAGCGGTACGAACTTTACGATCACCGGTAACCACTGGCGGATGGAACAGGAAGACAAGTTATTTCCTGAAACTTACGATTTCGTAGACTGTGTAAAATCACCGCTGTCGCTCCTCTTTGATAACGCTCAACGACTTCATTTTTATTCGTGCTAACGATTGCGTGCTGAAAGATAATAATAATTTGCAGCTTGTGGCTTTGATCTGGTATTAATGATCATCTGGATTATTATAATATACGAACACTGTTCACAGGATTATTAAGACAGACGCATAATGTAATTCTATGAAAATTATTTTAAATACCTTGTGTTACAAGTTCTTATCGTGTCTCAAGTTACCGACATAAGTACGAAATTTATGTCTGCTTAACAATGCTTAATTAAAGAAAAGTTTTCACCACTTATATTGACATTCGTAACATTTGTTAACTTGAGAAGCATAAGAGGAGATAAAAAATTCGATCTTTGTTTACCACGTGCAGCTTAATAGCCGTCAGCCAGCAATTCAGTCTTATAACATAATTTATCAAATTTTACATCAATAAATTACCTCATATGACAAGTCGCTGAATTCGTCTCAACAAACGCCATTGTACTACGAAAATATGTGGTTCCAATTAAAAAAGTGAACTTGACTTTGAAATTTCCACGACCACTCGACCTGTAAAAACATAACTTGCACCATATGGTGTCTCCCTCCATACCAAGCAACTTTTATTGAAACATTTTTTTGATAGGTTCACTTCCTCACGAGATATTTTAATTTTGCGAGATGAAGGAAAGACCCTGTATTTGATGCTGTTGCGACCTGATGAGGACGCAACGAAGTCTCGGTTCGGCGGATTATAGTAATAAGCCACTTCGTCACATTTGGCCGCCAGACCGAGATGCCGACGTTCGGAAGACCGCAATATACCCCCCGTGGACTCACCAGCGCGACACTCGGACAATAGGTCCCAAAAACACTCGGGACCATAAAACATTCGTTACCGAGGATTGAATTTGTTTACAACAAATTCGGTCTCCCAAAAGGTCACAGTTTTCGTCGACCAATAGCCGAACACACCACGCTTTCCACCTCCATAACACAACCACCAATCAGAACCAACCTAATCCCCATATATACATCTACACACTTGAAAACAGGGAGTCACAGTACAACGAGTGCACGAGACAGATCGTCAAAAGAAAAGAATAACCGAATTTCAACTAAACATCTATCAAACATCTACATCAACGAACCGAAAGAAAAACATCTAACCCAACAACGAAGTTTCGATACACCTCGAATCAGCGAGAACTATCATCAACCTGCGCCAGAACTTCTGGTCATAAGACTTGATCAAAGTGCACGACGCAACAGATGCTACGTATGTTTTAAAGGGTTTGACTTAGATTTAAGTTAAATTGGGGTTAGGTTTGGGTTGTATTTTGATTTGGTAATAAATAAGATAATAATTACAATTTATAATAACCAAATTTATTATAGGGAAAAGTTACTTACAATATAATTTAACACTAGCGTTACCGGTCTATTATTTACCGGTATTGAATTAACACAACCTATAACCCATTATTTTTTCTCTTTTATTGATATTAAAACCGGTTATGCAGTCGCCGTGAGACGACCGCTTACGTCAGAATAAAGTGTACTTGTAACTTAGGTTTAACTAAAGTTTTTTGCTAATATCTCGGAAGCTAAAGCCGAACGGCAGTAACGTGTATAGGGAAAAGTTGTTCAGTCTGATGACCTTGATAATATATTTCAAGTTTATTGAAATCGGCGATAATTTCTAATTAATTAGTTAATTAATTAATCGGCTCGTATTCTCAATAATTACCTGGAACTTTTATTAGAAAATCGAAATTTTTCTTTCTTGTGCTTCGTCACTGCATTAATGAAAATTTACTATCCTATTTAATAGAAAGAAGTCAATGATGTTAAAATCTTCTAAAATGTGTGTTGAAAACAAATTCTCGTTTATTCAAATATTTGTCTCTTTGAATAGAAAATATCTCTCCCTTGCGTGTTTCTTCTTGTACCTTCTTGTATATTTTGCATAACAGTAGTAATTCAAGGTTGAACAGACTGTACATTTCATTTCATTTGAAAATAACCCCACCTTGTCAGCAGCAAGTTATTTAATGCTTCCTTGTTATCACGGAAACTATTTACATAAGTTTTAGTATGATGGACTAACAATAAGCCATGTTGCATTAAACTTGCATAGTATGTTGCTGTAAATACTCTTTAACGTCATGCAGATGTTTCACTTTTACTTTGCAATTACAGTAAATACTGACAGACAGTTTGAATTAATTGTTAAGTTCGTTAAATCAAAAGTAGTTGGTGTATCCTTAGTATAATTAACTACTTAAGATGGTACACCACCCTGAGGCGTCTAAAAATAGGTAAAAATTTGGAAATTTTTGTCATGGGTAAGTACGAAATAAACAATTTCAGTTTTTTCAGAGGATGTTAATGTAATTTTCAATTTTCTTCTGTAACTTAAAAAAAGTAAAGATGTTACAAAATGGAGGAGTTATTCGTTGTTTGCGAAACCTCTTCTGCTAGAACATCGATTGCTGAAGGCCATCGCCGGCAAGAATTGGAACGTTTGAAATAAAAAATTCTTATTCATTTATAAATAAAAATGTATTGTCTCCAACGTAGCGTACGATTTTTCAAAAATTGTAATTATTATAAAACTAGTGGCAGTTTGAATAGGAAACGCCACTTTTTGCCGAAAAAGATCAACTTGTAGCGTAACCGTTTTTCGCCTAATTATACGACACGCCCCGAGCCACGCACGACGCAACCCCCCGTAGCCTCAGGTAGTGGGATAGCGGCTCGCGCGCCCCGAACCTGCGAAAAGGCTTGACCGCCCTGATTGGTCGGGCCTAACTCCACTAAAACATGTGAAAGACGGCTTTTCGCCGTAAGAAATCAGTCTTTCCGGGAAAGTCGAACGTAGACTATCATAGCAAACATCGAGCAGACGTCTCCTACGCGGGTTACAGACGACACTCAGTGCCTTTGCAAAAAGTCAGTACGGAACGAACGAGGACTCCAGGACCAGGTTTTCTGTCCTGTCTCTACCCCCGACATCATCCTTACCCACCCACCTCCTAGAGGCAGACGCTCCTACGCGGGTTATAGCGACACCTCTAGGTCACCTCCAAACTTTCACACACTACCTACTCCGAGAAAACAGACGTCTCCTTCGCGGGTTCATAGACGACAATTTCTCTTCCTTCTCTACACTCTCCCTTCCTCTACTACCCCCTCGCCCCTCTCCTTTGGAAAATCTGGCCGTGTCACGGTGTTGCCTCGCAAGAAATCGCGACGAACCCTCGGTTTATCGTCATAAACTTGTTCAATTACACTTGGCCGCCAGACCGAGGTACCGGTCCTCTCGCGCGTACCGTACCCCCCGTGGAGAGGTCACGTGCGCGCTGGAAAGTCACGCGGCAACCCCTGGGAAAAACCTAAAAATGGGGGTTTTCTAATATTAAGCAACAATCCCCTTCCTTTGGAAAGAGCTGCGTCCCACCTAAACAACCTCCTCCAATGACGAGTCAGCACCTACAACCCCCAGAAGAGATCGGCCACCAATCAGCAACTGGCCGAGCGGATAAAACTAAGGAAACGAGGCAGAAGCGCGTCCTTTTTTGGAAGTCTTGGCAGTTGGTCTTACGAAAATTGGTATTTTGATAGTCTCGTGGCGACATCACCTCAAGTATCACTCTGTTGCAAATAAAACTAGTTCTTAGTATTTCACACTGAATAAATCACGGCATAATACCCCGTGACAATCGCCGCGTCCGCGACTTCTCGCTGGAGACCGCTCGAGTCGCGCCTATACTTGTACTTTCCCGGCGATTTGTATCTAGAATCCACGGTTTGTAATAAAGAGTGTTACCATCAACCGTCCTACAAACTTTAAATGTTTCTAAAGGATTAAATAATTGATATATGGAAAAAGTCATTACTGTACATTGTAGGTAATACATTTGCATTTATAAATCAAAAAGAATTGTTTATTTCAGACGTTTTAATCCTTGCCGGCAATGGCGACCAACAGTCGATGTTCTAGCAAAAGAGGTTTTGCAATAACTCTCCCATCTTGAAATATTTTTACTTTTTAAAAATCGTAGAGAAATGCTAAAAGTTTCATTCATATTATCGGAGAGAAATTGAAACTTTCTATTTAGTAGTCACCTACGAAAAGAACTCCCAAACTTTTACTTATTTTTAGACGCATCCCTTAAAGAATTATTGCTAAAATGTAAACAAATTGCAGCATAATAATTATTATCGTCGTTACTTGCTATAAACTGTGCTCCAGACTTAGTGCATTTAGCAAGTATAATTAAATCAGTATAATACGTACACACATCAAAAGTACATACTTCGTCCAATTTTTACAATTTATTTTCCATAGAAAAATGATGTTATCCAACAACGTTAGTCTGTTTAATTAGAAAAAAAGAGTCGTTGCATGTAAATCTAGTGCAAGAGTAAGCCTTTAAGTAGAAATTTTTTTTACCAGAACACATAATCGGATATCAATTTTTACAGTCTTGTCTTCTTACGTATAAGCGAAAACTTGGTGGAGATGAGAGTCGTGTTTGGGAGTCTTCGGAGTCTGCTTTACATGGCGCTAATCCGGTATTTTTGTATTGAAAGCTGCCGTACATGTATCCACACAGAGGACAGATCATACGGAACTTCTTAGCACGCTTCATCATCAATGGTACGAAGCAGAGTGGCCAGCATCTGTCGGAAATTATTGTACTTTCCATGAAATTGTTTTTAGAATAATGAAAGTTTAAATTATGTTTCATTAGATATACGAGTATTTTCTAAAAAATTTCCATTCTTATTTTTCAATTTTAGTTGTTGCGAGCGTTCGACCTTGCTCGGTTCAGAGCTCGCTGTGTGGTTCAGCCTCGAATTAACGATTCCGAACCTCGTTGAGAATGGAGAGTAAATGTTCCTGTTCGTTGTTGTTTAGTTGATACTTTATTTGTGATCTGCTGCTTAGTTGAACTGTATGTGTTGTGATCTGACTTCGGGTGAGCTCGCTCTTTATACAAATTTTAGAAGAAGACATCCACCAATCCGGGTGCCTAAATGGTAGCGACAACCCTCTTCTTGCGCCCGCAGCGCGTTTCTTTCGGAGAAGGGGATGCCTGTGGGTTTTTCCGGGTAGGCCGCTTTCGGGGGATCGAATTTGTTTATGTAAAATTGTCAGCCCCGAAAGCTGTACCGTTTTATTGCCAGAAAAACCTACCGCGGGCGTGAACAATGGCTGTTCGCGCGGCGCAGGGTAGACCAAGGGGGGTCTGATGTTCGAAGTGAGGCTCGACACCTCGGTCTGGCGGCCAATGGTGGCTAATGATTTTTATGACTATAATCCGCCAGACCGAGGCGAGCTCACGTGAATTGCGTGCGACGCAACATTAGCGACGATTCAGTTCTCTAAAATTATATAGGGTGTCTTAGCTAAATGAGATCAACTAAATTTCTGCCTTATTTACTATTGTACGAAAAAACTTCTCAGGACAAAGTTAAACTATTTCAAGGGGCACATGTCACATTGGAAAGAATTTTTTCTCATGATCATTTTTCAGATTTCAAGGTCACCGGTATCTTTTTAAATGGAATCCTGTATTTTCTTTTCGATATCCTTATAGAGAATAAAGAAACAAATTCAGCGATCTGAACAACCATACCGTGACGAAGTTAAGAAAATTTGCGAAAAAAAAATTCGCCTACCCTAAAAGGCACAGCGCTCCAATATGTGATGTCGTTAATTTGTCTCCTCGAGCATGAAGTGTTGGCACTGCTTCTCTTCGACATCGAGGACAAACCTTTTTCTCGTTGTGTGACTTCCATGTGTCCACTGCAATAGAGATAATAGGTGGGTTTAATATTTTTCCACCTAATACGTTGAATCAATATTTTAGAAGATGTACCACGCGTGGCATAGACTTTTCTTGGTTCGTTTTTCCTTGAACTGCATTCTTTTTTCTGCGAATACATTGAAACTATTTGTTTGGATGTTTTCCTTGGCTCTTCTTCCTAATTTACAAATATTGCACTGAGTATTTTGTGCTTATGCTGCTTCGTTTAAAGCTAAACGCACGATTTAATTGCATATCCCACTTTAACGAGAACTATTTACAATA